TTTCAAATGCCTTTGGTGAGGTTTCATACACATTAAACGATCGAGAGAATCATTTGAGGAACTTACATTTATTTATCAAAAACTCATAAAACTTCCGGATAGATGGTTGATCAAAGAATGAATGATTGGTGATTTTGTTATAACCGTTCCATCTTGCAACCGCCCAAGAACTTAGAAAAGTTATACGCACGCCCCACAGGGATCAAGGTAAAGGGTGGATAAAATGCCAACTTATTTGAATTGTGGAAGAATGCTTTGTTATAGACATGGCACTTGTGAATTGTATCAGGCATAGTAGCAACTCCTGATCAATAGCCAAGTACTTAGCTATTTGCTCGGGACGAGCAAAGGTTAAGCTTGGGGGATTTGTTGGTGGTCACTAATAACCAAATCCGACCGCCAATTATAGTCCAAAACTAGAGAAATAGACATGCTTTTTAGACATATGCCTTTACTATTGACCTAGTTCCACTTGTATTGGAGAAATCATGTTTTGCAGGTCACATATTCGAATACAAGTGGAAAACATACCAAAAGGCGCAAACAGAAGGCGTAAAGCAGAAATGCGTGAAGGAAATAAGAAGAGAAGCCCATGTACACAACTTACCTAGGCAGAATACCACCGTGGTAAGGGTCCAGGCTCAACCAAGAACCGACCAGGTGAAGGCGGTCGTGAGGCGAGCCCACTAGGGTGTGGGCGCACCCAAGGTGTGGCCGTACCCCCACCGCCTCCGCTTGGCCCCACTCTTCTACGGCGGTTGCATGCTGCCATGCTACGGCGGTTCCTAGTGGTTTCCTTATTTTCCAACGCCAAACCGTCCTCACTTCACTATATAAAGAGGGCTAGAGCTCACCTCTCAAACACACCATCATTTGGAGTTACACCTCACATGTCTACTTGTACTCTTTTAGTTCTTAGCTTTAGTAGTATTTGAGAGCAAGGCAAGAGCTACTTGGAGAGCTTGTCTCCTTGGAAGAAAGAGCAACTTTGGTATGAATAATACTATGAAGAGTTCTTCCATAGTCATGCTCTCGTATCATTTATATAGTAGTGCATATGAACTAGAGTATAGTTTTCATGTTATAATCATGATATATGAACTAGCATATAGTTTTTGTGTTATGATCTTAACATGTTCAACTTTGAGCTTAATCATTCATATGACTTGTATGAGTAGAAGTAGAGCTAGGGTTGGGGTGGTGGTTTGTCGTTCTTTCGGGTTTGCCCATATTCTTGCTTGTCAATCCATGGGGTTGGAGTCCCCGGGGGGGTATGGGAAGTTTCCTTGTACACGGGCGTGGTGCTCGGGTGCATGGGAACCTTTGGATATGACGATATCCCATGGGTGAGGGGTAGGCGGTAGGTGGTGACAGCCCTGTCCGTCACTTGTAATCCCCCATGTCCAGGTATTGTGTAGAAGTTTTAAAGTCTCTCGAGCTTGCTGGCAGACCAGTGCTCGGAGATCTCCCCATCCATCTTAATCATAGTTCTAACTCTAGTCATATAGCTTGTATGATCATTATCTGTTCTTTGCACGGCTATTTTAGAATATGCCGGCTCCGCTTAAAATATTATTTTATTCTTTGTTTTCCTTTTATCCTTGAGGTTAGCCCAGATGTGTGTCTACTATCCATGAAATACCATTTTGACCCCTGTTATGAACTATGGTCCACTATGCAAGTATGTAATCATGTTTATGTCTATGCTAGAATATGTATACCTTACCCTCCTTTTGAAAAATATAAATAATGATATCCTGAATACTTCCGGGTGAAATGCTACAATGATAGATTCGTACGCTTGCGGATATTGTCTGTAATCTTTAAGGACTATCGTAGTTGGTGTTTCTTGGTGGCGTTGCTAAGATTAACTCAAACTTAGTAATGGTGCTAAGAAATATCAACAGGCATTTCTGGCGTCGTTACCGGTGATGGACTTAAAACCTCCTCACTTTGTAATTGCGCTTAGAAATGCCAACACCAGGGTCCGGTCACGTTTGTATCTGACGGGTCCGATCGACTCCAGAGAGTATCTAGAGCGCACAAATATGATCGGACTGGGTCCGGTCCTGATGACCGGACTCTGGCTAGGGTCCAATCCTCACAGGTATCGCCTGCGCGTGCTTAAGTCAAATTAACCGGACTCTCGACCGTTAGGTCCGGTCCTAACGAGTCGAGCATGGTCCGATCGCGTTGATTTTTTACACTGAGAGCTCCCAGACCCCTCGGACTGGGTCCGGTCACTCATGACCGGACTTAGGGCCAGGGTCTAGTAGCTCTCCGACTGCCACGTTGCCTCGCCCCCGCGCCTAAGCTCAGCCAGCCCCTGAGCGTCGGGTCCGATCTTACCAACACACCGAGTCCGGTCACAACAGAGCCCTCTTGGCTCAGCACAGAGTCCAGACCGAACTCACCCTATCAGGGTCCGGTCCTAGGGTTTCTCCTCCTTTTCTTTTTCAATCTCTTCAACCAGTTCACCCTTGCTTCCAAGTTGCAAACCACAAAGTGTATAACCCATGTGCACGTGTGTTAGCATTTTTCAAGCATTTTTCAAAGGTTAATTGTTAGCACACTAGGTCCCTAATGGATATGTAATTATGACTTCACCTAGTGGCACTCGATAACCGCTTAGCCAAAGATTTCTCCTCTTAATAGTATGGCTATCGATCCTAAATACACTCACACCCTCTATGGTGTCTTAAGTGCCAAAACAAGAACCTGTTTGATACCTTTGCATTAATCGACACTTGATTTTTTATTTTTCTCTTTCTTCTTTTCCATGTTGGAGCACTTGATCATCTCTTTTGGTCACTACCATTACCATGACCATCATCTAGCTCCATCACTTGGTGTGTACAACCCTATCTCAATCACAATACTTAATGACAAGGGTTAGTACGCTAGATTTCATCAATTTGTCAAAACCAAACTAGGGCTTTCATCTGCCTGTCTTTATATAGTCCAGAGGGCAGGCGCACAATTCTAGTCCTAGTCAGTTATAATAGAAGAGTTCTAATCCTATTAGTGAGTTAGACTTTTGGTAATCCGACTTGGTCGATTCTGCTTGCTTTGGAAGTCATGCCACCTTGTTCCATGCCTTCCTGGTAGACCATGGGCTGGCCCATCTCCTTGTCAGGTAGTCGGCCCTATGGGGAACCCTTAGGATAATGATCCATCAGGGAGGATGGAAGGCAGCGGGGAGAAAGGCGTCCACTGGTGGGGATAAGGGTTGTGCGCCGATGGGAGTAGTGTCGTCTGTCGGTGGGAGCAGGGCCATCTACCAGTGGGTCATGGGCGGCACATATCGGGGTGATGGCCGTGCACGGGGCAACACCAGTCCAGAGAAGGGTCAAGCAGGGGGCGGCGCACTGGATGCCGAGGATGGAGGACGAGGGGCCGGTGGGGTGTGCTTGCCGGCACGGCCTTCTTCTTCGTGAGGACGACCGAGGAGGCGGCCCTCTAGATCCAGCAGAGGAGGGCGCGGGCCGAGTCAGAGGAAGGGCATGAGACAACGCCGATCATCTTCCCGGCGCCGGTGGTAGGTCACGACGGCGACGAGGGGAAGAGTCGGGCACACGCGGGTGAGGTGGCGAGAGGAGGGATTTGTTGGGCAACAAATTTGGGTAGCGTGCTGGAGTGTTTTTTTGCCTCTACTATCTAAATATAGGATATACAGTGTGTATAGATAGCCTACTAGAAATGATCTAATGGTCGGATGTCTTTTTTTTTAAGTTAGCAGTGTCATTTCTTATGTAAGTTGCTCTCCTGGAATTTACATGTATTTTTATTTTGATGCGACGGGGGAGTAGCCTCACCGAGGTTCATGTGACAAGAGATGTCTATTGGGACAAACTTAATCCTACAATGTCAATTTTTTTGGACGCGTGTAGTAATGAATTTAGAAATTACCTTGGTGCTTATTAGTGTCATTTTATAAAAATACATATTTTTATATTTAATTAAAGTTTATGGCTGAAAATAACCAAAGTAAAGCTTAGCACCTGCCTACCTGCTGGTGAGCTGGTGGATTGGAACGGGCAGTTGGGACGAGATGAGATAAAAGAGAGAGGGTACTGGAGGTAGTTTGTCCAGATGTTTGGAGTCGTAGACCAAGCAGACTATAGGCACGAAAAGATGTTGGAGGGAAGCCCAAAAAATCAAAGGCACTGGTCATTCGGAGACGGATGTAGAGGCACTAGCCTAGCGTGCAGAGTGCAGTGCAGCAGCTAAGCGTCGCTGCTCCTGCCTGGGGAACCCAAAAAGATGTTGGAGGGAAGCCCAAAAAATCAAAGGCCTGAACTGGACACAAGCGGCCCTCGGCCCCTCTCCCTCACCACGCCGCGGCAATAAAGAAGCCGCTGTGCTGCATGCGTGTCACTCTCTCGCTCCTCCCCGTGCTTTCTCCGTCTGGGTGGGGTGGGGGTGTGTGTGTGTGTGTGTTCTCGAGGCTGCTGTTTCGGACGTTAATTAAGAGGACTGAACATAATTAATTATAAAGACTAATTTACAAGACGAATCTATTAAGACTAATTAATTCATTATTAGCGTATATTTATTGTAGCACCATATTATCAAATCATGTTCTAATTAGTCTTAATAGATTCGTCTCGCAAATTAGTCTCAATCTGTATAGTTAGTTTTGTAATTAAAATATATTTAATACTCTAAATTAATGTCTAAATATTCGAACAGGGACTGAAAATTAGTCCGTGTAACCAAACACCCATTCGGCCTCCTCTCCTCTCAAACCCCAATAAAACTAGCTTTCCCTCCTCTCCGCTTCGATTCTCCTGTCTTCGCCTCGTCACTCCCCACGCCACGCCAAAGACCGAAAAAAGGACTAATTTTTCCTAGTAGCTGCAAGCAACCTCACGCCATATGGAGGAGGAGATGCCGCTGCAGCTGCTCTCCTCTTCCTCCTCCGCCGTCGCCGCCTGAGCGCTCCCTTCGCTCGCTCTCTCTCCATAGGGCCTACGGTACCTCTCCCAGTGCAGCAAGGCATGGCAGCTTTCGCCGCGCTGTTCGACCCCCTCTACTGCCCGGAGGAGCACCTCGATCTGTACCACGAAGAACCCGGCGAGGGTGCGGACGAGCAGTGGCCGGACGAGCACGGACAGCAGCAGCAGCAGCAGCAGCCGGCGGCTCTTGACGACGAGCTGCCGGCGCTGTTCGAGGCGCTCCGGGCCAAGGAGGGGGTGGTGCTGGCGGGCGAGGGGGAGGAGGACGGGTACGGCGGCGCGGCGGGCCGGGAGGCCGCGGTCGGCTGGGCGTCACGCGCCGCGGCGCGGCTGGGCTTCTCCGCGCTCACCGCCGCGCTCGCCGCCGCCTACCTCGACCGCTGCTTCCTCCCCGGGGGCGCGCTCTGGCTCGGCGACCAGCCCTGGATGGCGCGCCTCGCAGCCGTCGCCTGCGTCGCGCTCGCCGCCAAGGTCGAGGAGACGCGCGTGCCGCTGCTCCCCGACCTCCAGCTCTGCGCCGCCGCCAGCTCCGACGCCGACGCCGCGGACCCGTACGTGTTCGAGGCCAAGACGGTGCGCCGGATGGAGCTTCTCGTGCTCTCCGCGCTTGGGTGGCGGATGCACCCTGTCACGCCCTTCTCCTACCTCCAGCCCGTCCTCGCCGACGCTGCGATGCGCCTGCGCAACTGCGAGAGCGTCCTGCTCGCGGTCATGGACGGTGCGTGCTTCTTCATCTTTCTCTGCGAGTTCCAGGCTTCCAGCCGACCAGCCAGTGTAGTTGCATTTCCGTGCCAAAGACTTGATTTTTATGTATATTCCAAAAAAAATGGCAGATTGGAGGTGGCCTCGGCACCGGCCTTCGGCGTGGGCCGCCGCCGCGTTGCTGACCACAGCCGGCGGCGACGACGGCGACACGGAGCTCCTGGCGCTCATCAATGCCCCCGAGGTCAGCGCAGCACAATGCCATTGCATCAGCATAATACTGTGGGTTGCTCGATCCTTGTTGCTTACCAGCCGGTGGACGCGTCGCAGGACGAGACCGCGGAGTGCGCCAAGATCATCTCCGAGGTGACGAGCATGAGCTTCCTCGCCTGCGATGTCGGCTTGAGCACCGGGAATAAGCGCAAGCACGCGGCGGCGCGGATGTACTCGCCGCCGCCGAGCCCGAGCGGCGTGATCGGCGCGCTGTCCTGCTTCAGCTGCGAGAGCTCGACGTCCACCGCTACTACGGCTGCGGGGGTCGGCCCGTCGTGGGCACCGTCGGCGCTCGTGTCCGTGTCGTCCTCCCCGGAGCCCTCCGGTCGGGCCCCCAAGCGCGCTGCGGCGGCGGGGGTCGCGGTCCCGGTCGCGCACCCGCTTCCCCCCGACGAGGAGAGCCGCGACGCCTGGCCGTCCACCTGTGCCGCGTGACGCACCGTGCCGGAACGGTGCCTATGGCGAGACCCCCGCTCCTCAGGTGGCGGTGGAGGTAAAGGAGCATCATCAGATCAGAGGCTCGCGCCGGTGACCAGAACGGACGAACCATTTTGCCCATTGTCGTGAGAGATGGAGGGCAAGGCAAGAAGATAAGGGAAAAAAAAAGATGTAATGTTTGCATGCTTATGGCAGCACGTTTTGCAATGATGGATCTTGTTCAATGCTGTTAGGGGGGATCGGTGAACTGAGCTGGAGGTGGAAGATGATTAGCGGATAATTTTGCCGTCGAGATCGATGGCGATTTATTAAGATTATTATTAAGTTGCATTGTAGTTGTTGCCATGTTCTTGTTGGTTCTTGGCATTGCTTGCTTGGAACTTGGAAGGGCAATGGCAGGGGCCTCCTTTGTCCTGACTGTGCTGCACTGCTGCGACCACTACTGTAGCAGCACTGCTCTCCCCCTGTGGCTGCGCCTGCCTGCGTCGCCGTCGCGTCTCTCCACACTACATACTCGACCTTTCTTTCTTCCTTCGATGCAAATGCTGCAGCTCCCCGCTGCTACCCGCCATGAAAATGCAATGCAACGCTCGGGAGATGAGCCTCCATTAATGTCTACTCTCTCTAGTTTCATGGTTATTACTAGCTCCAATCAAATCCTTGTTTCTTTGTAACGATAAATAAGGGACTGTTTAGATTCTAAAAAATTTTGCGCAGTATCTGTCACATCGAATTTTGCGGCACATGCAAGGAGTATTAAATGTAGACGGAAAAAAAACTAATTGCACAGTTGGGTGAGAAATTGCGAGACGAAACTTTTGAAGCTAATTAGTCCATAATTAGACACTAATTACCAAATACAAACGAAATGCTACATTGAGCCAAAATCCAAAAATTTTTGGATCTAAATGGGCCTAAATAAATGTGACAGCCCACTTAAATCCTTGTTTATTTGTAAATTTAGTAGCTTTTAATCTCTTTAGTAACTTTTTTACCAAACGTTATGACTAAATATGACTAAAAGGGTTTTAATCCTCTCTAGTAACTCTTAAGTGACTAAAAATAACTAAACCATTTAGTAGCCCAAACCAAACAGACCCTTAATATTGCTGGGAATGTTGTCTCTGAACTGTGAAGAGCGCATGTGCTGGGCGTATTAATGAGGGAGGGAAATTAAAATTATCACACGAGGGAGATGTTACTTAGTGCTTTGTCAATTTGATTGTAACACTGTTGTTCCATAAATAAATGTACCAGGATCAAACACATGATGGCGCCTGGATTGCTCACAATAAGTTCTCAAATCTTGGATAATCTAGCCTCTTCATTTGGCCGTGGCTTGTCGTAAACGATCGTAAATTTCCAGCCAGAACAGTATATTTCTCTCACACAAACCAGCCAGCAGTACTTCTTCACGAACCAGCAACGAAACGAACCAGCCAACCGAACAGGCCAAAAAATCCTCGCGTTATTTGAACGTACTAACATCAATAGGAGTAAGTAAATTTTTTTATGTTGATGATCAAATAAAAAAATTAAGATCAGAGGGTGTGATTTATAGTGCTTAATCTGTTTCACTAATTGAAGTACTTATAGTATCAAGTACTTTTGAGTTGACAGGAGGCTCCCGGAAAAGCAATGGCGAAAAAACAACCTTGGTTGATGAGTCATCAGGCCTGTTGCACACCTGGCGTGTGAGATGAGGTGGCGTTCAACGTGGACTTTTTGACTTTTCTCGCACCAACCCAAAATGTCTAACCACAGCAAGCATACGTCCAAAGAAAAAGCAACGGGCAATGTTCACACAAAGAAGAAAAGTCGTAGAGAGAGAATGAGAAACAACGTATAAAGAGTAGTACTATTAGAGCTAGAGAAGACAAACGGAGCGACGTGTACTGTAGCTCTAGTACTGCTACGCCATGCGAGGAGAGAGAGAGAGAGACCATTTTTGTGATTTTTTTTTTGCAAAGGCACAAAAAGGCAAAGTGGGGGAAATGTTGGGGAAGAAGATCCACTTCCTATTCATGGTATGGTAGTGGCAATGATTTGGAGTATCTTGGTGGATTAGTTTTTTATTGGCATCGTTCACTTCGCTGAAAAAATAAACAGAAATATTGTTCCAACTAATTTGTTGTGAGAGAAAAATATTATTCCGACTAAAAAATTAAGTTAAAAATTACAGAATGCAAGAGAAGCGAAGAGGGCCATTATTGTCAAATCTGGAGTGGAAGGCTTATCAGTGGATTTGCTGCCGCTATCTTCATGCCATCAATATGCAAAGTGTCATTGTTCCTGATGGAATCATGATCAACTCATTCGCTTCTTCTCCCAAAGAAAATGCTGCTATATATTTGTTTATGAAATTAAACCTAGTACGGAGTACATAATTTTGTCTTGTATAAAAACCTCTCGGCTGTAGTCGTACAAGAGTACCACTACGTATATCCTTCTGACGTTTCATAATTTCATTATATTTTTTTTGAGACTTTTCCCTGTGTGCCATTATAAAAGATCGTAATTACTTGTGTGTCCCTGGAAAAATTCAGCGGTCTTCAGCGCCACTACTCTAACTTTTTCGGGTCCTCCATGCCACTTCCGTCAGTTCAGGCTCTAACGCCGTCAAACCGCAGGTGTGAAAAGACGAAAATGCCCTTAAGTTCAAATATGTTATTAATTTTTTTTGAGCATCTTAACGACTTCAAATGAAAAAACTCAAAACTAGAAAGTTGTAGATCTCGTCGAGATCTATAATTTTCATATAAAATTTATTTTCATTTAATTTCGTAAAAAAAATATGATGATTTTTCTAAGATATATTAATCACATCAAATCATATTTTTTTGCGGAATTAAATGAAAATAATTTTTATATGAAAATTATAGATCTCGACGAGATCTACAACTTTCTAGTTTTAAGTTTTTTCATTTGAAGTCGTTAAGATGCTCAAAAAAATTAATAACATATTTGAACTTAAGGGCATTTTCGTCTTTTCACACCTGTAGTTTGACGGCGTTAGAGCCTGAACTGACGGAAGTGGCATGGAGGACCCGAAAAAGTTAGAGTAGTGGCGCTGAAGACCGCTGAATTTTTTCAGAGGCACACGAGGGATTGCGATTTTTTTATAATGGCACACAAGGAAAAAGTCTCTTTTTTTCTGCCCTGCATACCGAGGGAGCGTATTATCTAAGCAATATACCTGAACATATCAAACTTATAGTCGTGTATCGATCCACAATAATAATGGATCAGTTCCATAAAAGTTTATGGCGTCTATACCACACCAGCAACTGTTTTACTTCCCTCCGTTTGTGTTTACTTTCAGCAACTTTTTTACTATAGTAAATTTGACCATCTGTTTTTCCTTCTAAAAAAATCATAGATACTTCAATGTATATAACACTAATGAAGTATATTCAATAAAGAATCATATATGTGAAAACTTGATGTATCTAAAAATCTTTTGCAAAAAAACGTACGGTCAAAATTGCTACAGTAAAAGTTCGGTGACAAGTAAACGAAAACAGAGGTTGTAATAAAACTTGTAACCTTTGATTTTCAATGCATGCCTTTTAGCCCTTGTTTGGATATCCATGTATCTACCTCAATTCTATGTGTGTCGGAGTGGTTTTGCGTAGAATTTAGTTCAAATTCCACGCCAAACCACTCCCACGCACATCAAATTCCACAGGCCTTAGGGTCCTTTGGAACACAGGAATCTCATATTAGAGCATCTTCAATAATCTTTATAAAATTTACTCTCTAAATCATCATTTAGAGTTATCTGAGTAAAAATCATTTTTTATATTTTGTACCCTTCAACAATTTTTCTATATCTTATGCGTACTCTTTAGAGAGCCATCCTCGCTCTCCATGTGGTACATTTCAATAACAAAAAAAACAACAACACGATGCCGATTTGTTTTATGTGAAGGTCATGTTTCAAATAAGAGGTACGTAGGAGTACCGTGGTACATTTGTAGTTTTGAAAAAGAGAGTTAGTACATTTTTGATCGGGCATGTAGTATTTGTATTAGTAGTACATGATTAATTGTGCAAGTATAGTGTAGGTAACCGTTAAGATAAAAGCAAAGCCAACCGTTAAGAAAAAAAAAAAAGAGAGATATGAACTGCGAATTGAGCTTTGAGCTTGACTTGGGTCTTGGGAATCGGCCATTTATTTGCATTGCATGTGAAAGAGCACACAGACGACGACGTCGCTTGCAATCCACGGAGAACATACACAAGCATGTCCATGTGTGGTAGACGACGATGGATCAAAGCTAAAGCAACGTGTAAACAAAAGCGCAAGCAGGCTAGGTAGACGAGATGCATGGTTATGTTTTTAGCCGGATCAGCATGTCCCAAGGGAAACCATCCGGATTTGCTCGGAGTCTACTCTTGTAGGCTTTGACATCGATGGCAGAGCGTGAGCGATGGTGGTGCCGAGGCGAGGCCTCTGAGGGCTGAGGCTGAGGGGGAGGGGCCTTGCTTGGGGTCTGTTTAGATGGTGAAATTTTTTGTAAAATATATTGTAGTATTTTTGTTGTTATTTGGTAATTAGTGTCCAATCATAGTCTAATTAGGCTTAAAAGATTCGTCTCGTGAATTTCATCTAAACTATGTAATTAATTTTATTTTTTATTTATATTTAATGCTTCATGCATGCGTGTCCAAAGATTCGATGTGACGAAGAATCTGAAAAATTTGGCAAAATTTTCTGGAACTAAACTGAACCTCGCTGCTTGATGCATGGATCGCTTTCCTCCAAAGACTAGACGCCTGCCTCAAATGAGTGAGTGTCATCCTGTCCCCCCCTCTCTCCATGGCACCTTCTCGGTGCTGGTGTGGTACTGCTACACACACATGACACATGACACGAGCTAGCTAGCAACATTTGTTTTGGCAAGTTGCCCCTGGAGACTGGAGTGGTCGTGGTATCTTTTTTGTTTGCCTTTGGAGAGCATATACGGAGTACTTATGAAATGACAAGGACAAAA